AGCTACCTTTTCTGGATCCACCTCTACCCCTTCTGTGGTGATGATGAAGCCAAGATACTTGGTCCTGGTAACATGAAACTCACACTTATGGAGACTGGCCTGCAGACCAGCTGCATGTAGTTGAGTGAGGACTGCTTTTACATGCAGTTCATGTTCTGCTTCATTTGCACTATAGATGAGGAGGTCATCCACAAATGCTGTGACATACTCATCTAGCATGTCCATGAAGATATCATTTACCAACCACTGGAAAGTTGCCGGTCCATTGGTCAACCTGAAGGGCATTACCTTGTATTTGTATGAACCATATTGGGTCCAGAAAGTGGTGTGCTCCTCTGAGTCAGGGTGCATTTGAATGCAATGAAAGCCCTGTCTGATGTCCAGCTTGGTGAACACCTTTGCATGGGAGATCTGTTCTAAGACTTCATCAATCAGAGGTAGGGGGTATCAATCCTTGCGGGTAATTGAATTCAGTTTCCAGTAATCCACGCAAAACTGAAGGCCTCCACCCAGCTTTCTTGCCATCAAGATTGGTGATGCATACAGAGATTGGCTGGGCACAATGAAGCCCTTGTTCAAATTGTTGATGATATATTCCTGGGCAGCCTCCAGTTCCTCTGTGGACATCTTGTACAATGGGCTGTATCCAACTGTCTTGGAAGGATCTCCTTCAAGGTCCAGCTGGTGATCAACCTCCTGTGGTGGTGGTAGGTTGTCAGATGCTATCTTGCTGAAAACATCTGCAAACTCTTCATACTGGCCTGGAAGCTTCTGCTGGATACTTTCCAGTTCTTCATCTTGTTCTCACTGTCTTTTGTCATCCACAATCTTGTTGATTTCCGCCAGTGTTGTCATAAAAATCTCTGAGTTGCCCTTGTGGAGAAGTCACCAGCACCTCACTGGAATGAAACAAATTGAACATGTCCAAGTTAAAGCCACTGAAATGATAGCAGCGCTGTGCTCCATAGCAGGATCAACATGGGGAATCACTCTAACCCACCTCCACCAAATGTACACAACTGTCCTATGGCCGCAGATCACATTTGCCAGTTCCACATGGTTCATACGGGCTGGATGGGGCTTCAAGGCGGCAGAAAATGCGGCTAAGAAAGCCATGGAATCTATCCAGCACAAGGCCCTCTACAGGATAGCTGGTGCATTCAGAACAACCTCTTGAGCTGCTCTGGAGATATGCCTCAACATACCTCCTCCAATGATCGCATTGGAACGTGTGGCCAAAGAATCATACCTCTGAATTGCCACATCACCCCTTATGGTCACCCTCAGCAAGATATGACATTCTGGCCAATGACCAGCGCCAAGGAATGCAAGGGAGTGATGCATGTGATGGGCCACCAGCCCAGACCATGATCCCTTAACATCACCATTAGAACAATGGGAGTGACGAACCGCAATTTCTCAGGACAAGCTGGAGATTATACACCCACATGTGACCC